CAACAGGCAGGTTGGATGAAATATTTGTAATTGGTAGATCTGATAAACACCTGCATTCAACAGACAGGATATAAAGAACTTTCAAAACTCAATTATAGGGGCTGGGGATTTAGCTCAGCGGCAAAGCGTCTGCCTGGCAAGCGCAAGGTCGTGAGTTCAGTTCCTGGTACCGGAGAAAAACCAAAAAAAAAAAAAAAAAAAAAACAAAAACAAAACTCAATTATAAAATAACCCAATTTTTTAAAAAAATATGTGAACAGTCATTTCATCAAAGAACAGATTTAGATGGTAGATAAATGCAAGAAAACAGTGCACAACATTATTAATTATCAGGGAAATACAAAATGAATCCAGGGAGAGACCACTATATACTTACCTAAATGGCTAAAACTTAAAAGACTGACCCTTCCCAACAGATTCTGCAGCATCAGTTGGCAGAGATGTAGAGGAATAAGAATGTTTGTAGATTGCTGGTGGAAATATAAAATGGCAAAGCCATTTTGGAAATCAATAGATGCTTTTTTTTTAAAGTTAAGTATACAGCTACTCTATGACCTAGTCATTCCATTCCTAAGCATTTATCCAAAAGAAATGAAAATGTGTCCGTCCACACAAAGACTTCTACATAAAGTTCAATGTATTTTTATTTGTAATAGCCAGAAATGGAATGAACTCAAATGTCCAACATGAGACATGAAAAGGGAGAAGGATTACAAAGAAATATGAGGAAAGAAGGCGATGGATGTGTTCATTAACTTGATTGTGAGGATAAGTACATATATTAAAAGATCCTGGGTTTAGTCTCCAGTATGACCCAAAAATGGATCAAGTTGCTTGTTTTAAACAAGCAATTTAAATAAGCAGTTTATTTTACGGCTGTTGTACCTCAATAAAGCTGTCCATTTAAAGAGAGAAGACAGGGGTGATTTGCAGAGTCTAAAAATTATGTCCCCATAAAACACTTTGTGATTTAAAAGATAAAAAAAATTAGTAACTTTATAGTAGACACTACCTTCACTAAGTGACCATGTTGACACCACCAGGGGTATGACATTGCTATGATGTGCTTCCTGATAGGCTGCCCTGAGAAGGTCACGTCACTTTTGTAATGTTCTTGTCCAAACTCTGTATTCTACACCTAATGATGAGAAAAATCAGATGATAACAAATTGAATGTCGTCTTTCAAAAAAATAATAACTGGCAGTCCTCTTCAAAAGAGTCAAGGTCATGAAAGACAAAGATGGACTGGGGAACGATAACAACTTCGGAGACTAAGAAGAAGTGACAGCTAAATGCAAGCAGAGGTCATAGAGTGGATCTTGTACTAGAAAAGGACATCAATAGGACAATAGGTAAAATCCAAATAAAATGCACAGACTATTTAATAATATGTCAATATCTATGCGCCAGTTTCACTAATTATATAAATGTTAACATTAGGAAACTGTATGAAGGGTATTAGAGGGGAACAAATTCTACCATTTTTATAACCTTTGTGTTTATAAGTCTAACATTATTTCAGAACAGAAGGGACTGAGGTAATAAACAATATTCTTTCGGATGTTAACAAAACTGAATTAGAAATTCATAAAAATCATTGGGAAAATCTCAGACTATTGTAAAAATTAAACAACACATTTCTAAATTATCCATGGGCAAAAGAGAAATCCCAAGGGAAATTCAGGAGAACATTTTGAACTGAAAAATAATGAAAATTGAACACGTAAAAATTTCTGAGATGCATTAAAAACCAGTGTTTAGAGGAAAACGTATTTTGAAAATTAATGATCTTTGATTCATGCTATTTGAGAAAAAAGAGCAATTAAACTGAGAAGTGAAGGGAGGAAATTTTAATGAGAAAAAATCAATGATATATAAATTGAACAAACATTAAAATTGTAAGGTTTTTTTAAAGATCAATAATTTTGATAAACTTTTAGCTAGACTGATCATTAAAAAAAGAGAGTGATCCAGGCATGGTGGTCACGCCTCTACTCTCAGCTGTTTGGGAGGCTAAGGCAAAGGGATTCCAAGTTAGAGTCCAGCCTGGGCAATTTAGCAAGACGTGCTCTCAAAAACGAAAAAATAAAAAGAGGTGGGGAGCGTAGCCCAGCACCTCCTAGGTTCGATCTCCTGAGAGGGAAAAGGAAAGGAAGGATATCAGCAGTAGGAGTATTTTAAAATGTTCCAAGTCAATAAACCAGACAACCCAGATGTAGCAGGACCAACTCCTTGAAAGCTATGAGATGCCCATATCTTCTAAAACACTAATTCATAAATTCAAATATTTAAATAATATGTGTATAATAATAATATATATATAAAAGGTAAATCTGGAATATATAAAGAAATTATGACTTAAAAATAAAACAACAGTAAAGGTGAGCAGAAATTTTGAATATATTTTTTGTTTGTTTGTTTGTTTTGGTTTGGTTTTTATCAGGTACCGGGAATAGAACTCACGACCTTGAGCTTGCCAGGCAGGTGCTATGCCGCCTGAGCTAAACCCCCAGCCCCCAAAATTCTGAATATATACCTAACAAGAGAATATATTTAGATGCTCACAAAGTACACAAAAAGTTACTTAATGTTCAGCCATCGGGATTGTAAATTAAAACCAGAAAGCAATGTAAGCATACATCTACCTGATCTTCTGTAGTTACAAAGACTAACAATATCAAGGACTGGCCATGAGGTGGAACAACTCTAACTCTTATACACTGTCTCTGAGATGTACAATGACTTTGGAATTTCTTATATGAAGTTTGGCAATTTTTTATAACGTTAAACATACACATGCCACATGATCAAAAAATTTCCACTCATAGGTATTTCCCAAGAGAAAGAAAACATAAATGTATCTTTAAAAAATGACTTTTTAGTTGAGACAGAGTCTCACTGTCTCACTAGGTAGCCCACCCTGGCCTTAAACTCATGATGATCCTCCTGCCTCAGCCTCCTTAGTCCTGGGACTACAGGTATGTGCCACCACACTGGACCCAAAATGACTTGTACATAAATAATCATGGCAGCTTTATTTATAATACCCCAAGCCAGAAATAGCCCAGAAGCCCATCAACTGCTGAAAGGATAAACCAGTTGTGTTGTATTCACTCAATGGAATACTATTCAGCAATAAAAATACAAACTACTACTATGTACAACAAACACAGATTAACCTCTAAAACACAATTCTAAGAGGAGGGCTGGGATTTAGCTCAGCGGCAAAAGCGCCTGCTTGGCAAGCGCAAGGTCATGAGTTCGGTTCCCGGTACCGGAGAAAAAAAAAAAAAAAAAAAAAAAAAAATTCTAAGAGGAAAAAAGATTCAAAAGAGTACGTATGATATGATTCCATTTATATGAATTTCCTGATCAGGCCAATCTAATCTATAGAGGGGCTGGGGATTTAGCTCAGTGGCACAGTGCCTGCCTGGCAAGTGCAAGGTCGTGAGTTCGATTCCTGGTACCAGAAAAAAACAAAACAAAACAAAACAATCTAATCTATAGAGAAACCGCAGACCAGTGGTTGCCTGGGAGAAGGGACTAAGGGAGTTGACAGCAAAGGGACCCAGAAGGACTTTAGGAAAGGCTGATGGATATGCTCATGTCACTTTCTAGATTTTGAACACAGCTGGATCTCATCCGTACACAAAAGTTAGATGTAGATGGCTGTAGAGATGGGAAGGAAAGGTGTTCCACATGGCGACAACAGGGTGAGCCATCACAGGACAGGGAAATTGGAGTCAGTAGAGGGGAACAGCTGATAGTGATTTTTTAAATTAACTTTATTGAAGTATAATTTGTATATGATAATATGTATGCAAGTTAATTAAATGCATTTTTAAAAATGTATACAGACCCACGCAACAACCATCTCAGAGAGCACTATTTTAATTTTTAATTTTTATTTTTTCCAGGAATTGAACTCAGGACCTTGCGCTTGCCAGGCAGGCGCTTATGCCACTGAGCTATATCCCCAGCAAGGGCACTTTTTTTTAAAACAATCACTTTAAGATCTTTTGTGTTCAGGAAGTTGTAATTTTATTATAAGTTTTATAATCCAATATTAAAACCAAAAAACATGGAGGCACTAAAATTGACTATGATATCTATAAGCCTTGGAATTGCCTCTAAATTCAAATCTCACTTCTTGAGCATGTCATTTAATTTCTCGAAGCTTCATTCTCCTCATCCATAAAGTGATTATCTCTAAAACCAATGTCATGATATTGCTGTGAATGTTAAAAGAGCTCCAGGCACAATGCCTGGAACATAGTAGGGCCACCAAAAGGTATTTACCATACCACAATTACACAGGCATCTGTTGCACGGTTAGCCCATAGTTCAGGGTATGGACTGCAGAACTCGCCAAAGGTTTCCCCACAGTCCTAAATGAATCTGTTAAAGGGCTACCAAAATGGCAATTCTGAGTTCTGCTTCCCTGCTGCTTCTATTTCACAATCAGTAGTGAAAGCACCAAAGGATTTCGTGCTCAAAACATATTGCTTCAAGGTGAAACAGGTGGGCCATTTGAAAATTGATTCTGAAACAAATTTGAAGTAAAACACTTTAAAGATTTCCTCCTCAAGTTACATCTACTCCCTGGCCTTTCAGCAGAGCCCGGATTTGATAACACCGGAAGCTGGGGAGACCCTGCCTCTAGGGTTCCTCTAATGGCCCCATTTCACTGTCACTATTTACCTGCTCGGGCTCCATCTCCCAGGCTCCTGGTATCCTGACTCCATGATCCAGTTCCATATCAGCCTTCAGCCTATCTCCTCGTGTCCCATTTCTTCAGTCTACCTACCTGTCACCTGACCTGTTCAGCTCTGCAAGCTGCCTCGACGGCTGCCAACACCCGCAGCATCTGGGTGAGCTGCTGCCTTAGTCAGGCTCAGCTTCCTAGGGGCCCGGGGGCCTAGCTTGCAGCACACAGGACCCAGGACACAATCGCAAGCATAATAAAATTCAAGAGTGATGGGGACAGAGTGCCATCTACCTGAGCCACAAAGAGCTGGAACTCGTCAGGCAGAATCCACGAGCGAGGGTAGAAGTTGTACTCCTCAGGAAAGAGATTCTGCATGATTCTCACTGCTCTGCTCAGGGTAATTTTACGCACCATCTCCGTCATGCCTGGGGAGAAGAGAAGCTGTGAGGTTTGCACAACTGCGGGCCACCAGCTATAAAGCAGCTATTATTTAGGACTGGTAAAACACCCACCCACCACAGTCACGTTTTCAGGCAGCATTAAAAAAAAAAAAAAACAGGTATGAGTTGTTCCCCACAGCAGTGAATCATGGTTTGAAAATGTCTAGCAAATTAAAGAAAATGGATGGGGTTTCCTTCTCCTCATTTAAAAAATGAAGCATCAGATTGAAAGGATGTGTTTTCACCTAGTTCCTTATTTTATTATTTGTCATCCCTGTGGGTAATGAATAGAGAAGTGTTTCTATCTTGTACTTAAAATGTAATACCCTCTTTAATTTGAGAACGGCACACATATTTCTAGATTCCTTCTATCTTGTACCCGAGAGGATATTACCCAGTGGACTCTGGTGACATTATGAGAAGCTTAATTAAGTTGCTCTGTTTTAATCTTTCATGGGTATTAAAGGCATAAAATAGAAAAATATACATGTTTCAGCATAAAAATCTGTCTCCTTGAATCAAGGACAGGAAGTGGAAAGGGTATATAATATCATAATTTATAGTTTAAGAGGAGGAAATGCAATCCATAGGCATTTTTCCATTATAAGTACTGGCATTGACGTTGATCAGCTGTCATTAATTTACCCAGAAGGGATTGAAACGTCTCACTTAAAAAACACTTTAAAAGAATGGTAGTTTTTTTCTTTCCTTTTAACATCATTAGTAACTCTGACAAGAGAAGAAACTGAGCATATCTTAGTAATGCTTAAGCAAACAAGTGAAAATTATTGTGAATTTTGGCCCACTTGCTTCTTAAGGCAGGTATCACTGCTAAAAATGCAGGTTAAAAATAGCCTACACCCTGAAAAGACTAAATAGTTCCATTCCTGACACTAGAAATTTCATTACCGAAGTTAATTTTACTGGATAACTTCCACGTCAGCTTCAAATAGCCAAATTATTACACATTCCACATGGGCCCAGTCAGAACGAATGAAGTGTCACAGTGCCTGTATTCAGGAGACCTGTGAACCTCCGAGAAGGAAGGTTTTCGTAACCAACATGTTGCTTCCCTCAATATGTTAAAATATGAATGGTAAATCTAAAGGTCGCAGCTTCATGGTGTCAGCACCCAGGTTCTCAACTCCTTTATGGAAGGATAGAGGGCAGGATTACGTGAGAAACAGAAGAGCTTTAAAGTTCCAATAATCCATGTCTAACGTGGACTCTTCAGTTTTAAAGTCACTGAGGACACTGTTCTGAGCGTTCCAGGAAATAAATCTGGAAAATGACAGCTATTTTCTTTATTTGCCCACAAAATTAGCATTTTTGAATTATAAAACAGTAGTTGAACACAAAGTAAACAAAACAATTTCAACATTTTTGGAACCTTTTAACTTGTATTTGACTCACATTTTTGTTGCAGTATTAAATTGTGAAGCACTTCATACCAACTAGATAGTGCCTCCTGACTAGTCTGTGATATTTCTGCATTTTAGTGGCTTTTTGACAGGTGCTCTGCAAGTGTCCTCTCCCTCCTCAGTGCCCACACCAGCTGAAAGATCTGTTTCCAACTTGACCTTTATGTTTCCAGGCAGTTCTCTGCTGAAAATAGCCAACGTAAGAAGCACCGGTAGGGCTAGTGGCTACTTTCCCCCTCTACTTCCTGCCTGTAGGCTGTCAGTGGTTCACCTCAGCCCTGCCTGAATGCCTGTCTGCAGGAGGCACCAGTGTAGACCTCCCTCGATCCACTGCATCAACATCTGTTCCTCCTCCATATCTAAGCTGTTTTTCTACCCAGCGCTGCCAGGGAAAGAGTCTCTGGCCCCTCACTAGACCGTGTGTGGAAGCTGCTGGCATCCCTTCCTCTGCAGTGGCCCAGAGACGGGTGTGGATAGTGTCATCTTCTCACACTACAACCTTGACAAGAGTAGCTGGGTATCTAGCAGAGGTAGGGCACATGCTCCCAGAGTGAATTTGTGAAAGAGCGGTCACTGTCAGGCTCCTCAGGCCCCATGCCCCACCTTCCTTCTCTAAGCAGCTGCAACACCTGAAGACTCCCTCCTATCTGCGGCCTTCCCTGTGCTCTGGGACTCATTCTGACTTGAGGTAGAAGCTCTAGGTCATCAGCTTCTCGCTGCTCAAAGTCTGACCTCACCTTTGTGTTTCAATTGGATAAGGAGGCTTTGATATGTTTTTCTTAGGTTCCCTTGCTTGACCCCAAATTTCAGTAACCTATTTTTTCCCCAAGTATCTGAGTGGCTGCTTTAGGAATGCACAGAGCTGAGGCTTTGCCTTGATCTCTTCAATGCTCCCCCTCTCTCCAGCCTTACCTCTACTCTCCCTAAGCCTACCCAACAGGCTGGACTCCTGCCTGTGACTTTAGCCCAGTGCCTGGGGTCCCACTACCCACTCCCAGGCTCTGTGGAGAATAACCACCTCGGTTTCTCGGGAAAGCCCACCCCTGGATGACCCTACATGCCAGTTCCTCTATCAGTTGGGCAAACCACCTAACTCAAGCTACAGCTTCTGCCTCCAAGGGGTTGCCTCCTGCTACTCTTTCTGAGGCCTAGGTTTGTCTGTCTGATACTCTCGGGCCACAAGCCCTGGTAGATCTCATCCCCTTGAAGTCAACCAAGAATGGAACGGTTTGATCCTCAGGCTTGCCCATATAGCCCTGCCTATGCTGATGAAAACAAAGCAAACTGAGCTTGTATTTGGAGCACTAGGCAATCCAAGTAGCACTTATAATAATAATTCTCAATAAAAACACATTACAACCACCAAAGTAAATACTTTCACATTCAACCTCCTCTCTCCCATTGGCACTAATCAGTTCATCTGCTGCCTGGATACTGCAGTAGCCTCTTGGCTGTATCTCTGTTTCCTCTTTTGACCTTTCCGTCTATCTCCTCTCACTGATCTTTCTAAAACGCAAGCTGGCCTGTGCCATTCTCTAGTTTAAAAATGTCTCAGTGGCCTCCTGTAACCTTCAGGCTGTAACAGTGCTGTTCTTAGGTCCCTATTCATCATTTTTTCAGTACCTACCCCCACTCATTTGGCCCACTTGAACCAGGATGGACCACTTGCCCTTCTCTGAATGAGCAGCGTGCTTAAAGTGCTACATGTCTCTGCACCAGCTCTGCTCTATCCCCAGAGCCTCAGTTTACAGGCAGATCCTTTTCTCCAGGATCTGTCACTTTGCCTAGCCTAATCTACCAAGCAAATCTGGGTTAGGTGCATGCCCTTGCTCCAAACTCCCAGGTACTCCAAGCCTCCTCTGGCTCAGCACTTACACTGTGTCTTGCTCTCCCTGCATGCCTTTCTTCGTGTCCTTGTGTCCCTAGAGCAGTGCCAGCCACCTGTACAGGTTCCCCAATGAGCCTCCTTTCCTCTAGGACAGAAAGCCCTCCTCGTGGTCAGCTCTCAGGAGCCACCCGCAGATTCTGCCACACATCTCAGAGCTTGAAACTTGGCAAAAACCTATTGCTTGTAAGCTGACAACTGACCTTTTTAGACTTTCTTAAAGCAAAGCCATAGCTAGATCAGATTCTTTTTTGTCTTTTTGAGACAGGGCCTCACTATGCAGTTCAGGCTGGCCTTGAGCTCACTTTGTAGCCCAGGCTGGTCTCGAACATGCAACGATCCTCCTGCCTCAGCCTCCCGGGTACTGTGATTACAGACGTGCACCACCACAACTGGCCGCCTAAATCAGATTATTTTTTCAGTACAAGGGATTAAACCCTGGGCCTTCACAGCCTTTTTTTTAAGGCAAGGTCTTGCCAAATTGCCCAGGTTGGTTCAGATTTGCCATCTTCCTGCTTCAGCTTCCCAGAGTGCTGGGATTATAGCTGTGTGCCACCATGCCCAGGCAGGTTATTTTTATAGAAACTCTTAATTCATCAGTTAAGATAAAATAATGTATTTTAAACAAACTGCCCAAAGAAATTAACAAAAGTGAATAAAATTAACATGCTAACACAAATTACTTCCAAGTGTATATACAAAAGTTCTCAGTTTATGCAGCATGGGAAGCACCTACGCTTGCCTGTCCCATCTACTGGAATGTACTAGAGAGTCCCATGCATGAGAAACCCAGTTTTAGGATAATGGTGAATATAGGAGTCAGAGGTAAGTGTGGACATAACTGGAACCAAAGGACAGCTTGGGAATTACTCTGCTGCTGACGATTATTATCTATCACAGGGCGGAGAGTATACAACACTCTTCCTCCGCCTGGAGGTTCCAGAACCTTTGTCATTACAGCTAATTAACTGCTGTTAGTAAAGTGGAAAATTACATGTTCCAATCACTGGCATGTGGAATATGGGATGGGACAAACTTGCTTCTTTGGAATGAATGTTCTTTTATCACCTTTCATAAAACTAGTCCTTCAGGAGTACTTCTGTCTATATTGCTAATGCGTTTTCCAAATATAGAGCCATAGCTACTCCTTTCCCCCTCTCAACCATTAGATGTAGCATAAACAGTGGAGAAAATATGGATGAAGCCTCATTCGGTGACCCACATCTTAGGAGCTCTGTTCCATTCGAGTTGTTCTCTTCCAAACTGTATTCTCCCAATATCCCAAGCAATGCTTTTAGTGACATCAAAAAGTATCCTTTCTCTGAGCAGCAAGACCGAAAATACATCACACTGGTATGCAAAAACCCTGTCTGCAAGAGTCAGTCTTTTTCTCTAACAAACCCTTACTTCTTCCCTGAGGACAAATTTGACCTAATGTTAACTTTCTATCTCTGTTCCCCTAAAAACCAATAAAGGTAGAATATGAGCTGTATTATTTAGACAACACAGCATATAGTTAAAATGATCCTTGCTTGTTAAATTGTAAAAATACCTTGTAGGAGGCCACAGCGCCAGGCTTTCTGGAGTGTTGTGATTCTTATAAATTTACATAATCCTTGCAAGGACCTTGGAAGCTATGCTATGGGACAACTTCGAAAGATGCTTCTCTTTGTAGGGGATCTAAGCCAAGACAGATGTGAATCTTGGGGCTGGGGATTTAGCTCAGCGGCAAAAGCGCCTGCCTAGCAAGCGCAAGGTCGTGAGTTCGGTTCCTGGTACCGGAGAAAAACAAAACAAAAACAAACAAACAGCAGATGTGAATCTTGTCTCTTTGCACCTGATCTTTCTTGATGGGCCATAGACTAGACCCCAGTACACACGGAAATACTCCACTGAAAAGCAGTGCTTCACACTGACTGGCTGGACACACTGTGTTTCCTGCTATGAATCCTTCTAAGTAAATCTGACCAGAGCTAGTCCTGTGGCAGTGACACTGTAAGTCTGTATAAGTTGAAAACCTCCAAGTGCAGATGGCAAAACTAGCCAGTATATGATGTATGGAGAGGTGGTTTGCTTAAACACATCAGATACCATGCAAAAAAAAAAAAAAAAGTAAATTGATTTTTCATTTAATACAAATAAAAATGATATCATAGTAAGAGAATATAGCATATAGCTCATATTCAGGTAATTATATGCTGCAACCATGTAAAAGTGATAAACACGACTAAGGCTTGGGAGGAACTGTAGAAAGATCGTTGGTATTTTGTTAAAAGTGTAGAAGGATGCTGGGTGGGGAAGAAGGTGTCCTAATGTGCTGCTGCTATAACAACTTTGTGCTACTGGGTCCTTCTTGTGGGATAAAGTCCCATGGAGGTGATGGTTCTAGGTAGAAGGCACAAACTGCCTGTAATACCATATATAATAGCACAGAGACTGGTGCATTTGGTTTTTAAAATGGTGCCTTCAACTATGATACTTTCTGTGATTTATTCCTTCAATTTCAGTACTTTGGTCTCCAGCCTGAGCAACGTTCTGATATTTCATTTTGAGAAGATAATCTTTTCATTAGACCTCCAAACCATGTCTGTAACCCAACAAGTGAAAGTCGTGTTCTTTCATCAGTAGAATTAGACCAGGAAAGTCTGTCTTTAAGCCTTTGAGAGCCCATCTGCATCTTTAAAACATTAGTGGTTTAAATTCTGATTATCTCTTGTTAACTTCTCTCCCCAGGTACCAGCAGCGCAGCAGAGCTCAGGCTGTGAAGGCCAATTAAGAGTCCTCAAGTGTGATCTTAAAACACTGTCATGTTTTTGCAGAAGGTTGTACTCTGAGACTCGGCCCTGGAAATGCTTTCAAACGCTAACAATAATAGCAGATACCTGGAAACTTGTTCACTTGACCGGAGAATATGTCATTGTCGTGAAATGAAACTCCGTGCCAATAGATGTCACAAGGCAAGCGTCGGCCAAATGGGAACTAGAAAAAGTAGGGGGGAAAGTGATTAATAATAATAAGAGGATTGGGGACCACACTGGATATCCATTATGTACAAATTCCTGACAACTGGCATGCATCACATGATTTAATCCTCAGACTAAACATGTGAGGTAGATGATCCCCTTTCCCATTTTATAGATGAAGAAACAGATTTGCACAGGTTTATGTCATGCTCAGAGTATCAAGTGTTCTGACTCCTTGTGGCAGACACTATATATACTACCAGCTTTCCCAGCACCATTTCACTTCAATCCTTATTCCTACCCTGTAAGGGATTATTTTATTGATTAAAAACTCAGGGCTGGGAGAGGTCATTTTTTGACATGCCCTAGGTCACACAGAGCTAAAAAGGGGAAGAACCAGGATTTGAATCTAGCCCTTTCCAAATACCCTTTCTCTGAAAGTTGCAACCCTCAACCCAGCCCCCAATGAATAAATATTCAAAGCCACTCTCTTCTCTTTTGTCTTTCCTCTCTTCCCTTCCTCTTCTCTCTCCCCATTTCCCCCCATGACAAGGGCAAGATATATTTCCAGTGCACAAAACAGTTCCTGGAACTCAGTGGAGACTTTTTGAGTTAATAAGTGAATGGGCCAAGAGTGGTCATCTGACTCAAGATGAGGTAACCAGATTCTGACTTCCAGGAATTTAGAAATTAGAGCTGCCTGGCAGCTTCTGCTGGCCCTTGAACTAGGCGCAACAAAAAGGCAGAGCTGGGCAGCTGTGTATGGTTGTGCACAGAAAGAAGCAAAGGTAGCCAGTCTGCTGGGAGAGAAGAAAGAAGAAAATGTGGACCGAGAAGCGGAGATGAGAGCGTGTAGCCTGGAAACACAGACGGCGTGACCTTAGCCCTGGGCCTTCCAGGCCCTATGCACAGGCTCTTGTGAGCTTGGCTGCCCCTCTTGCCCTTGGATTCCATCAAATGAGCTATATCCTGAAGACATGTTTTTGATATTCTGAAATCTCCTTTGTGACTCTATATGGTTTGGATTATTTGCAGCCAAAAAAAATCTCTCACTGAGACAAAAGGGCCTATTCTTTCTACTACATCCAGCCACCCCTTAAAGTGGTTAACAAGTTCTGCATTTACAGAACGTGTTTTTAAAATCTGTAACTCAGATGACCTTGGTAAAGGGGGACAGTGAGGACCTGCTAGTTCCTATTTTAAACTCACTTGTTACTGGTCCAAATGAAGAGAAATGCCAAATGCATTAAATAAAATCATTTGATTTTCTCATTCTTAGACTACAGTTAATCGGAATTTTTATCTACTCCAACTTGAGGGGATGAGTTCCAGTGGAAGAACATGGCATGACTAATGAAATAGTGGTAATTCCATGGTTTCCAACCCTTCCAAATGAAACAGGAGGCAAACAGGCTCCAGTCCTTTAATCAGTTACACTGTCTCAAAGCAGTGCCAAAGTGAGGCATATGTTACACACTCTCTTAGCATCAGTAACTTCCATCTATAACTTAGAGCCTTTCACTCATTTTCTTTGCATCCAATGGGCTGTACCTTATTTACTCAGTACTCATGAATACAAGAGATACAACATACACTATTTTATTCCAGCTGTTATGGGCTGATATTAAGAAAGGAAAAATAACCAGAGAGGTGTCACTAAAATCCAGGCTATCCAGCAAAGTGTGCTAAGATCAAAGTGGCCGTGTTGCCCATAAGTGTCTAACTCCTTGTCAGTGGACAAAATGAAGACATATCATCACCCTACTAATTGTCCTTCAGTACTTTCCACCTTCATGAACACCAAATCAACCCACCATTCAGAAGTACCAGTAGTTCGTTCAGTGTTGAGAAACTACCTTTCTTTTACCTTTACCCATTTATTCAATATGTACCAGACACTGTGCCAAGTGCTGGGAAGACAGAGGCACACAATTTTAAACACATCCCAGGAGTTCATAACCCTCCCTCCTTTCAAGCTCCTTTAAAAATTTTGCGTACACAGGTAACATCATACTCAATGGTAGAGGGCTGAAACGTTTTCCTCTAAGATCAGGAAAAGAGAAGGAGGCCAACTTTCACCACTTTTAGTCAACGTAGTATTAGCAGTTCTAGCTAGAGCAACAGGTAAGAGAAGAAAAGGAAAGGAAAGGGAAAAGGAAAAATTATCTTTGTGTATAAAGGACCTGATCTCATATGTAGAAACCCCTAAATTTTGCACACAAAACTGCTAAAATAATAAATGAATTCAGAAAAGTTCAACATACCAAATCAACACATAAAAGTCAGCAATAGTGAACAATCCAAAGAAGGAAATTCAGAAAACAATTCTACTCACAATAACATCAAAAATAATAAAATACTTACGAACTCGCTTAACCAAGGAGATGAAAGACATACACTGAAAGCTGCAAAATATTCCTGAAAGATATTAAAGAAGGCACAAAAAATGTTTTCACTATGGGACATCCCATGTCAATAGACTGAAAGATGCAGCATTGTTTAAGATGTCAGTACTAGACCCAGGGATACAGCTCAGGGGCACAAGTGCCCGCCTCGGCAAGTGCAAGGTTCTGAGCTTGATTCCCAGTACCAAAAAAAAAAAAAAAAAGATGTCAGTGCTATTCAAAGTGAGCTATAGATTCCATGCAGATAACAAAAATCTCTATAACTTTTTGGGGACAGAGTAGATAAAAAAAATCTCAAAATTCCCATGGAATTAGAAGGAACCCCAAATACTCAATTTTTGAAAAAGAACAAAGTTGGAGAGCTCATATTTCTTGATGTCAAAACTGAAAACTAAACTATATTATTATGAAGCAATGAGATACCGCTATCTATCTGCTACTTATTAGACTGGAAAAAATTCAAAACACTGGCAATATCAAGTGCTGGCAAGGCTGTGGAGCAACAAGAGTGTGTTCATTTCTGTAGAAGTGAAAAGTGGCACCTCCATTTTGGAAGATAATTTGGCAGGTTCTTACTAAACTAAACATACTCTTACCATATGAACCAGAAATTATATTCCTTGGTACTTATTCAAGTGAGTTGAAAACATGCCCACACAAAACCCTGAACATGAATGTTTTTGCAGCTGTATTTGTGATTGCCAAAACTTGGAAGCAACTGAGATGGTGTTTAGCAGGTGACTGGATCGAGGCAGTACACACAGACAATAAAATATTATTCAATGCTAAAGAGAAATAAGCTGTCAAGCTACAGACATGGAAGAACTATAAATACACATTGCTAAGTGAAAGAAGCCAATAAGAAAAGGCTGTATACTATATGATTCCAACTACATAACATTCTGGGAAAGGCAAATCATGGAGACCGTCCATAAGAAGTCCAGTAAAAAGATTAATAGATGCCAGAATGTGGAAGGGAAAAAAAGACTAACAGGCAAAGGCACAAATGATTTTCAGGGCAGTGAAACTACTCTGATAATGTAATATACATTTTACAAAACTCACAGAACATAAAACACCAAGAGCGAACCCTACTGTAAACTTTGGGTAATCGTGGAGTTGACCCATGCAGGTTTATCAGTTATAATAAATGTACCACGCTGATGCGGGATTCTGATGTTGGGGGAGGCTACAGGAAGTGGGGCCTGGCAAGAGATATATGGAAAATCACTGCATCTCTTGCTCAGTTTTACTGTGAACACAACACTCCTCTACAAAATAACAAATAATAAGCCAGGCATGGTGGTGAGTGTTTGTAATCTGAGGCTGAAGGTAAGGCAGGAGGAATGTGAATGCAAGGCCTGCCTGGGTAGCTTAATGAGACACTGTCTTAAAAATAAATAAAGAGTCACAACTACAGACCATACTCATAAGTGAAATAAATCAAACATACATGTGCAAGCACCGCATTGTGTCACTAGTGTAAAACTTGAAAGAGTTAAGTTAAACTCGGAGGTATGATAGACACTGTGAACTGATAGGAAACCACCGAAGAGTAAAGGGCTTCTGGGATGTGGGAAAAGAGAAGGGAAAGAAGGAGAAATTTTGTATGTATGTATATACAGGATAGATAACATGGTTGTTCTTCTATCTGCTGTTTCTATGCTGAAAGAAACTGTCAATGAGTCTTTGGTTGACCAGTATTGCATGTCTATATCTGTTTTAATGAGAAGCCACTTTGAAGATATCAATATGTAATACAACCACCATTGTTAATTCCCTACCACTTTGTTTGGAACTCTGTATTGTCTGTATTGTGCTTGTGATATGTTGTAAAATGTTGTATGTCTGTTAATGTTTCCCTCCTTTTATCCTTAAAAAAAATAAAAATAAAAATAAAAAATAAAAATAAATAAAGAAAAATAAAATATAAAGGCCAGCGTGGTATCCATATAAAGACAGATGTATAGACTAATGGAATAGGATAGTTCAGAAGTAAGCCCTTGCATGTATGGACAAATGATTTTGTTGTTGCTGTTGTTGTTGTTGTTATTGTTTTTGAGACAGGGTCTTACTTTGTAGCACAGGCTGGCCTCAAACATGCAGTGATTTTCCTGCCTCGGCCTCCCGAGTGCAGGGATTACAGGCATGCGCCACTATGTCCAGCAGACAAATGATTTTCAGCAAGGGTGACAAGGGTGACAATGGGGAAAGGGCAATTCTACCAACTGGTGCTGGGAAAATTGGATCTTCACATGTGAAAAGAATGAATTTCAATCTTCATATCATATACAAAAATCACCTCACAGTGTGTTATGTGTCTGGGTGTCCCCCCAAAGCCTCATGTGGTCATGGGGCAGGCTTTTAGAGTTTGATTGATTATGGGTATGAGAGTTACACCCGCCCTGGGGTGGATAGTTTGCATATGTAAGGGAGAGCAATAGGCTGCTTGCGGCCATTCCTGGCTTTTGGGTTGTTGATTTTGCTGTGTTCTGCCGCCAGGAGCTGTAGCCCTCTGCCGTGTGCCACTCTGCCTTGTAACCTGCCAAGTACGGACTAAAACCTCCACAAACTGTAAGCGAAATAAACCTTTCCTTCCTTAATTTTGGGC